TAAACTATCCAGGAAATTACCTTAAAACAAGAATATATAAGACATTTTGGAGAAAAACCAAAAACTCTATTATAGGATGTGAAATAAAGAAGAGCTGGCAGGACTTAACATTATAAAGACCTCATTTCTAACAAACATAGTCTATAAATTTAACATACCAGTCAAAAACAGGGCTTCTCTGAGAAACTTTATATGGAAATAAAAGTCCATAAATAGCTTAGGACAATTGTGAAGAATACGAAAGGAGGAGGAAGAGACCCAAGTCATCAGGTTATAAAGACATATCACATATTACAGGGCTGGAGTAATGACAAAATGTGTTATTAATACAGGAACCAAAACAGCAATGGGGCGGGGGGAAGCAATGGAATAGAGACCCAAAAATAAAAAAATAGACCTATGTTTACATGGGGTCATAATAGAGGATACATCACAAGAAAGAACATTTTAATAGTAATAGTTGTCAACACTGATTAAACATGTACTATGTACCCAGTACTGTTCTACACATCTTACATGTATGAATCCATTTAATTGTCACAGCTTTAAGCTGTAGAGACTATACCCTTTTTTATGGATGAGGAACTGAGGCACTTGCCCTGCCACCCACCTGGTAAGTGGCCGCACTGGGTTTTTAACACAGGCAGCCGGGCTCTAAGAATCTGTGTTCATAACTATGCTACACAGCTTCTCTAATTTTTAATTAATTCATTACTTATTAATTGAAAATGGTGGAGGAAAATTTAGGTCATTACCTTAAATCATTTACAAAAATAAACTCTAACAACTCCAAATGGCTTAAAAATTTTAATGTGAAAAGTAACATTAGTATTTGGTTAATATAAGGAAATGTAGAATATCTCAATGAAGATATAGTGGGAAGGCAATTCATTCTTTTTTTTTTTTAGAAAAGCAAGCAAGAATTTATTGACAGCAGCAATAACATTCCTAGGGCAGTGAAACAAGGAAGGGCATAGAAAAAGCAATAGAAGCGCCTACGCTGGGCTGCACTGGTTCACTGGGAAGTCAGAGAAAAAGGCGGGAAGAGGGCTTTGGAGACAGGTTCAGGGGCGTAGCCTGGGATGAACTGCTGCTGACCATTGCTCCCCTGGTTGCAAGTCTCACGTGGGGAGAGTGGGAAGGGAATGGCACAAAACGTGCTCCCTGGAGCGATAGCGTGCTGGCAATTCTTTTTAAAAATATATTTTTACTGATTTCAGAGAGGAAGGGAGAGGGACAGAGCGATAGGAACATTAGTGATGAGAATCACTGATTGGCTGCAT